CATAACACATTGATTGTAACTTTTTTTCCTACAATCATAACGACATTAACAAAATATCATAACTTTTATCAATGAATCATAACATAACACATTGATTGTAATTTTGTTCCGAAAATCGTAACAATGTTGACAAAACATCATAACTTTTAAAATTTCAAACACAATTGATTGTGTAATCAATTGGTATAGCATATAAGAGTGAATGAAAAACCATAATTGATTGCAAAATCGATTGGATTCAAAGACCACAATTGATTATACAATCGATTAGTAGCCAAGGTTTTGAACAATCACAATTGATTGTGCAATCCATTAGAATATAAGGGAGGTTCAAATATCACAATTGATTGTGCAATAGATTGTAGGCATCTTTGATATAATAAACATAATTGATTCAATAATCAATTAGTTTTCATAAGCCACACTAAACCAATTAATTCCTAACTTATACATAGTTCCAATCAATTAGTAAAAGCCTAATCATTACTATCAATTTAGTCAAGATTCAGATAGTAATTGATCAGTTGATCGGTCGCCATTTTTATGTAATTATGTTGTGTTGTCATTACCTCAAACATTATCACTAACGAAAACACAAGACACTCCAACTACGTGTCTTGCTCTACGATTCTCTCTCTCTCTCATTATCTTCAGTGTTAAATGTTATTGCTATGACTATCTCATCGACTCTCACTTTTTCTTTCTTTGTCATTATTAGTGAATTAGATAACAATATTATTGTTACCAACTTCAATTAATCACACCCTTTGATCCACTGAAACACAACCATCATCATCGACTTAGACCACTATAATAGCATTGTTACCGCTACTAGTGTCATGTTATCGTTATATCCAAATGATGACGTTGGCTATAAATCACTTTGACACATTTATAACTCTAGCACATACCAGTATTAGTCATTGCCTATTATTTCGTAGTCGGTCACTATCTTTTTACTGTTACTCTTTTTTTAAAATAATAAATTCTATTTTCATTCATTGTTTGTCATTGTACCAACCTTAGTCCCTATATTATTTGTCTTTTCTTACTTTTGGTCCAATTTGCTAACTTCTGAGGGTAACTTTAGAATTTTAAAAATTAATTTTCCTACTTTGATCACTTAGAAAACTTTGTTTTCCCACTTCAAAATAGATAGGTCATTGCACACGGTAAATGGAAGTGTTCTACAATGAAGGATTGTATGTTGAGGTGGTCTATAGCGAAGGTTTCCGTATTAATGAAGGTGAACTTGACCCATGGCGCATTTTCTATCACAAAAGTATAACATTTGTTACAATTTGGACCAAAGTCAAAAGAATATAATAGTTTCGAGACCAAAGTAAGAAAGTATTCATAGATGTAGACACCCTATTTTTGACCATCCTCAAGACTCGGTTGTGCTTGTAGGTACATCCAATCACAAGTTCGATTGCTCGTCAGGCATTCGACTTTTGCAGCGGAACGTCACAGGTTTGAGCTTTCCAGATCCTAGAAAAATTAAAATGTGTTACTATAATGATCCAATAATTAATTACTACCTTAAACAATATATATAATTAAATTATTAAATAACATGTGTCTTTTTGTATTTTGTAGTTTTAGAATTTTTTTTTTAAAAAAAAGAATTAATACTTTGGAATCTAAAAATTACACTATTTTTATTTTATATAATTGTATTTTTCACTCTACATTTATACAATGAGGTAAATTGCATTTTGTTTTCTTTTGTTGAGCCATCAAACTTCATTTCAACCTTCCATTTCTTAAGGAAAAATGAACAAAATTGGTGTTTTTAAAATTTAATGATTAATTTTTGTAATGAAGGCATTCAAGAAAAACTAAAAAATGCAGATACATATTGTTTCCATTCTTCCAGTCATTAAGAAAAATGAAGGCAAAAAGGTAACATTTGAGGAGATCCATCTCAAAGAAAAAACACAAATGTAATAGGAGACAAAACTAGTAGATTATATTTCTTCCCAGGTAACAAGTACAAAAAACTCTAATGAGTATAATCTCAATAAACAATATATTTTCCTCAACAAGTGCTGTTGCATTTTATATCTGTTACTAACAAGGTCGATTCATTTCTCCAGAATTATGTGCAACAGGTAAATCCTTTTGGAACGCTTCTGACACTTTAACAACATTTTCAGATGATTTGGGTCATGTTAATGGTCTTCTTAAGAACTTCAGTTGCCACCTTTTAGGTATGATCTGTCCTAACAATTTCATTTGCTCCTTCCTGAACTTCCTATCAGCATACCATTTTCCACCTCGCCAATCCAAACCATACCTACAATTCAGCAAGAAACAAAGGGAGAAGTTGTAACACAAATTACAATGTAGAAAGCATAGTTTTGCAAGTGAAGAATCGACAATTGAATGAAAAAATGACCCCCAATCTTTAAACCAACATACCATGATATAGAAAGCAGATAGTCAAGCCAGGTATGTCGTTTGCATGAAATCTACAAGGATGAAGCCAGGCCAAGCTTAAATAAAAACTGATAATTAACAACTTTGAGGAACATATCACTAATAACTAAGTGAGCTAGGTAAAATATAAGGTCTCCTTCCTCTTCATGTTCAAGTTCAAAACCCCAGCTCAAGTAAAATAACAATTTCTATCAGGATACAACATTGGAGGCTTCTATTCACTCATTAAAAAGCATGTTATACGAAACAAAATTTTCAGTCAAATAGGCATTGTCATCTTTTTGTCACTTTCTTCAATAGCTAAGCATACCCCATTGGCGAACACATCTATGACAAAATATCAACAAACAAAAGGAAGAAAACAAAAGAAACTTAGGAAACCGCAACAATATAATTGATTTAGCACTTTGTACATGAAATTAATTCCAATCTTTCTGAATTATTGTCAGTGCAATAGCAATTACACTCCCATCAACCTATCAATACACCAATAAACATACAATGTAGGGGCATATGATAGAATATATACATCATAATTTGAAACCATTTGATGCAGCATGGTCTCTCAAGGCACTTCCATTTAAGATATCGTGGGTAGAATAAACTTGCTGATGTAATCCTTTCGATATATGAATAAAAAGAAATACAGAGAAGAAATAAGATAATAAAGAAGAGGGAGGGAGGGGAGGGAACAGAAGAAAGAATATGAAAAACACAATGAACCTCAAATCTTCTCCATCCAATACCAAAATCTTGAGCTTAAAACATCCACCTTAAATCTAAAAAATAAGCAAAAAAACCAAAAATAAATGCATCAATTTACCACTCAACATCTCCGGTGAAGGTCACTGGTGGCTACCTAATTCCTCGTTGATGGTTATCGAAGCTCTAGTAGCCTCTATGTCTCTCTTTCGCGTGCGCATGCACACGCGCATACACACACGCGCACGCATGCATGCATTTGTCTCATGTATTTCCATGAGAATGAAAGGGCTTTCAAGCAATTAGGCCAATAATTTGCCGTTTTAGTTTTATACCCACACTTTCTAGTTTTTCATTTTTGCCACTTAATTTGCTTTTCAGAATTGCAACTAAAACCCCAATCTTGTCAAGGTCATGTCAGATTAAGGGACATGTGTCCCCCATGCCCCAAATGTATCTAGACCAAAACAAAAAGAAAAAGAAAAAGATAGTTAAAAAAAAGAAAGATACAGGAAAAGAGTAGAAGAATAGAGGTCATTAGCAAAATCAATAACTGAACATAAGGGAGAAGAATCACTGAAGCAGCAACAAGAGACATATAAAAGAAGAAAGGGAGAGAGAACTCAAGATCTATCAATCAATTATGAATTTTATTCTTATCAAGGAGGCTAATTCTGTTTAACAGCAATGTAGCCTATTTATAAGCTTAAGGAAAATCTAATTAACTTGTTGAAACCTCTAAAACTCATTCAACTTATTCTACCCAACAACAGAGAGGGTGATTAGCAAAACTCATTTGCAACTAAATAAATAAAGCTAGCTAAAAAAAGAGTCTCAAACCCAGCTTGAAAAAGTTATTTTTTTTAAATATTTTTTTAGCATTTGAGTTGAAAATGTTTTAAAAATTTTAAAATAAAATTGACAAAATTTCACCCGACACCCTAATTTTTACAACTACTTAAGTATGAAATTTTGATATTTAAGCTTAAGCTGCAAATAAGTTTTTCCTAAACAAGTACCTAATAGAAATTAGACTCCATCTTTCAAACCACGAGAAGTCGTAACAAAATAAAAATAAAGTATCTAAAAGACTCATAATATCAATAAAACATTATCTTTGTAAGTCCTAAATCAAGTACACTTCAACAGAAAGCTCAACCTCAAGTTTTCTTTAACATTCATAAGACATTAGTACAGTCTAAATCTCCATTGCGAACATGTTAGGGAGATCTATCTATCAAATCTAAATTTTAATTCATATCTGGGAGGCTAATTTCATTTTACTGCAATAGTGCCTATTTATGAGTTTAAAGAAAACTCGAATAAACCTATAGAAACCTTCTAGCTTATGAAACTCTTCATAGCCAATACCCAATAGAAAATAGAATCTGTTTTTATTTTTTAATTTTTTTTTGATAGCATACTCTGTATTTAAAACCACTAGAAAATCTAAAAAAATAACAATGGAGTATCTAAAAGGCTCTTGGTAGCTATAGAAGTATCATCTTCGTAGCAGTCCCATATAGGTATGCTTGATCACCACCCTACACTCTGTAAAGTATTGAAGACTATAAAACTAAGAAGCACGTACATGACATGGGTATAGTACACGACATGGGTATAGACCCAGATCGAATACTGCAAAAAAAAAAAAAAAACACTTGTATATATATTTTCTTTGTTATGTACATAAACACAACATGCACAAACTACCACAAATAATAGTAATTCAACATGAAAAAAAGCATTCAACTAATAATTTAAATGGTTATTATGTTTTGTTTAAGGATGCACGGTGTAATGTACTGTGTAATGTGTTTATTTAAGGATGCACTGCGTTTTTAGTAATTATGTTTTGTTCAATGATGCACTGTATAATGCTTGCTATTTTATTACTAGTTGTATATTTTTCTTTTTCTTTTTGGTGGGGGAGGGAGGGTTTGATTTTTGTGGGAAAAAAAAAACGTGATTGAAAAGTTTAT